GCTTCATATTAAATCTGCCATCCCTCACCCGCTCATCATGGGCGTTATTAGAGGTAAACTTTCTGATCAGTGGTGTAGTTTGTTGTTTGCGTAGTTTAACGCAGCAGGAAGTCTGAGCCGTGTGTTGAACACAATGAACTTACTTGTCTCGTTTAGAGTGCGGAGGGAAGATGCATCTGAGGGAGGGCGAGTTCGAGAAAGCTCACACAGATTTCTTTGAGGCGTTTAAAAATTACGACGAGTCTGGAAGCCCGAGGAGGACAACCTGCCTGAAGTACCTGGTGCTGGCCAACATGCTGATGAAGTCCGGAATCAACCCGTTCGACTCTCAGGAGGTTTGGAAGCTGCTCCTATGTTTTATTTCTAATGAGTGTAGCTGAAATTTTCCTCATCAGAATGATTTATTAGCTAACATTTTCTGAAGTTTGTCAGGGATCTCACTTTTATTTATTTATTTTTTAAGGCCAAACCCTACAAAAATGACCCAGAGATCCTCGCCATGACTAACTTAGTAAGGTAAGTGTCCACCTGGACAAAATGTTTCACAGCAACATTAGTTGAGTCAGCATAAAAATATTACTGTACTCTCCGCCCTAAAAGTTGCACTGCCATATAAGTCGCATCAGTCCAATTATGTCTAATAAAGTGGAGAAAAAAACAAATAAGTCACTTTGCCGTATTAAGTTGCATCTATTATGCATCACAGCTGACACGTCGCATTTGTTATGCATCACCGCTGAACACCTGGAAACATGGGCCGCTGTTGTGCCAAAAATTCATTGGCTGCCAAATGTCAGCCGCGGGAGCGTGCACGGGAGGACTTTAACAAGCATTTAACAAAATTAACACATAAAAACAATTATTTATTTGCTCAACATTATAGCAAAGGTGTGTCTCAGTTGAACTTTTCCTTAATAAATGCACTTTAATGGTCAAAGAAGCTTCATTTCGCCTCAGCGGCACGGCAAAATAAAGCTCCAGGAGTTCCGGAGCAAGACAAAGGTTGTATCTGTGGCAAGCCAAGTGCCTCATTAATAGCCACTTTTACCTATTAATGAGGCACTTGGCTTGCCATATAGTTTAGGGCCCTCTAGCTGCCAAAAATTATAATGTTCAATGTTTTCCATGTCAGAATGAATGAAATCTTCATATCTCAGCCACAAATTGTGTTATAAATATGGGGAAAAAATATAAATTAGTCGCTTTGAATTATAAGTCGCAGGACTTGCTAATTTATGCATAAATGTTGTTGTCCACTGTTGTCATCATTCTTTGTTAAAATTCATGTCTCTCTTGTAAATGAGGCCCCGAGGCTCAATGGGATTAACCTGTATGAATAAAGATGCAACTTAATAGTCCGAAAAGTACGATAATGTTTAAAATGTGCCGACAAAGAATCTCAGTCTGATAATATTCTGCTGGAGACGTTACAGGGATGTGCACAATAGTTGCACATCTGGACGTAGTCTCCTGTGGTTTTAACAAGTATTTTTATTGGCTGAAGGAGGAGTGGTTCAATGCAGCAGATTACTTCAGTGTTCATCCTTTAAACTGCAAATTCATTAATGTTGACCGAAAACTGTTTGGAGGAAAGTGAACCGTTAAATCGAAGCTTTAGAGTTCAATTGTTGGTCTCTTTCAGAGCTGTTTCAGGAACAGGGTTTCATCCTGATATTAAATCCTTAATTTTTTTTTGTTTTGTTTTAAATTACTATAAATGTTACTATAAAATGCAGCGCCTCAAACACTTCCCTGTTGGATGGTTTTAGTTTGGTACTGAAGGATAAATCCTGTTGAATGTGAGTTATTCTGCAGCTGTCGGGTCTTAAACCGACTCTCAGGACAACGTGACGTCGGTCTAATTTTCACCCGACAGGTTTACTGTCGTTTGTTCCCACGTTCACAAGGATTTATTTTAGGATTTTATTGTATGAACAGTCACCTGTAAGCTGTGTGGTCTCTGAAGATGTCACATTTAGGATGTTTGTGTCTGAGACGATGCAGAAAAAAAACGGGTTTGTTTGCTTCTCAGTGCCTACCAGAACAACGACATCACAGAGTTTGAGAAGATCCTAAAAACAAATCACAGCAACATCATGGACGATCCGTTCATCAGAGAGCACATAGAGGGTGAGCAGAGATTTCCTGTTTCGCAGGAAACAGGTTTTATTCCACAGGTAACTGATTGTGTCGGGTTGTGTTTCAGAACTGCTGCGAAACATCAGAACCCAGGTTCTGATCAAACTCATCAAACCGTACACAAGAATCCACATCCCCTTCATTTCTAAGGTCAGTTCATGTTTTGACTCCTCTCTGCTCAACACGTTTAAGTATTTAGTCACATTTAAAGAATTAAACACGGTCAACTTTCTCATGTAGAAAACTCGAGTTTAAAAACTCGCATGAAGAGGAACAATTATGGTTTTATGTTTCACTTTCCTCAGAGCTGTGGCCTTTAAAAACTTTATTTAAATGGAGAATAAAACGTGCTGAAATATGTGGTGATTACTCCCAGGCCTGCAGCTCCTGAAGTGTCTGTTCTCTTAACTTTTAGTTGCAGGTAAATGATTCAGAGTTTATACTAAGAATTGGTCCTGCAGGAGGGGAACAACAAATAAACACAACAACAAAGTGCACATGAGATACAATAAACATAAATTAAATTCAGTTTATTTATATAGTGCCAAGTCACAACAGAAGTCATCTCAGGGCACTGAACAGAAAGATTCATATATAAAAATAATAATTAACACTATTTATCGGAGGAGCAGACTGCTTTGAGTTTAACTCCATCGCAGAACTCTCATCTTGAGCAAGCATGAAGGTGATGGTAGAAAGAAAAACTCCCTCATGAGGAAGAAACCTTTAGCAGAACCAGGCTCAGGACAAGCAACCATCTGCTTCAAACATGGAAATAAACACATTAAATATGTCAAAGTTTAAGACCGAAAGACGAAAGTTGCAGCTAAATAAAAACTGCAGTTGCCTTGGAAGAAATGAGAGCACAGTTTGGATCAGATCAGTATTTCTGAACCTGAGTTCTGCTCTGTCGTAGTTTGAGTCCTCAGGTGAGCTGCAGGAACACCTGTCACGCTCTCAGGCTGTCCTTCTCGTTTCCAGGAGCTGAACATCGATGTGAGCGACGTGGAGAGTCTTCTGGTGCAGTGCATCCTGGATAAGTAAGTTTGTGTTGTGCTCTGAGAATAGGAAAAAAAAAAACTTTCTGAAGGCTTCTGGCCGCTTGAAAAGATTTGACCACTTTGTGAAGCTTTATGGTGTGATGAAAACCTTTGGCATTTAAAAAACATAAATGTGGTTTTCACACTTCAGGAAAGGCTGACTCAGTTTAAAAAAACTGTGTGCAGTCATGTTTCAGATGGACTTTCTCCTGACAAGGAAGCAGGAAGTGAAAACTCTTACTGTAACTTTTATTGTTTTGTGTCGCTGAGCCACCTGCAGGATTGTCAGATTATGAGTTGAACTACAGAACAAAAAGTCTCGTATTAGACTGGTAAAATCCCAGATCTGACTGGTTTCCAACGTCTGTCTCGCAGCACGATTCACGGCCGAATTGACCAGGTCAACCAGCTGCTGGAGCTGGATTACCAGAAGAGAGGGGGCGCCCGCTACACAGCTTTAGACAAATGGACAAATCAGCTAAACTCCTTGAACCAAGCCATTGTCAGCAAGCTCACATGATGTCCGCCAGGAGACGAGCAGAGCGGCACGTTTGAAGACGTCCGTAAAGATTGAGGCGCTGCTTCAGCTCTGATCGCTCAGACGAGAGTCACAGCGCCGGTTTTAAGACGGCTTCAGGTTTACAGACTGCACAGACCCTGAGAACGTGTTGAAGGTTTTTATTTTGTCCCCTTGAGAAGAAATCACCGAATGCTCTTTGTTGTTCATGTCATGGGCAGATTTTTCTATGTGCTGCAGACAAACGCCTCACATCTGTAAAAAATAAGAACAATATAAAGTTGCACTCATCAGTTTCATGTATAGTGTTGCCTGTTGGTAATAAATGTCTCTCAGCACTAAAAGCTCCAGTTTTTGACTCGTAACGAGGTCTGAAGAGTCCAGTCGGCTCAAAACTAAATCGAACTTTTAGAAACTGCTCATAAAGTTTACAGTCTGACTTTGACTCATTTCAAAACATTTCTTGATCATTTTGGTGTTCACTACTTTTTAAGTGCAGACAGTCTTAAGTTGTACATTTTGTGATCATTTAAAAGCAATTAAATTTTTTTATAGTCAGCTGTACTAAACTCTCCAAAAGTGTTGGCTGCTAATAAAAAGTTTAAACAGATTTAAATGTGGGTTTCTTCAAAATAATCCAGACCCTAAAACCCAGTCTGAAGTATTGTTTAAACCTCATTTAAGTGTTTTTATAGTTCCTGCATGTGGTAAAACTCTGGGACGTGTTTGGAGAGTTTTACTCATCTTTTTAATGACTGTGAACGTTATCGAACGGCCCTAAGTGGTTTTTTTTTATTTTCCTTGCAAGATTTTAGTCAAAGTCCTGAGGTCATGGTTGTTAATCTTTGTTGAGCTCAAATAAGTGTTTTTCAAACTGTTTTCCATGCGTTGATTAGCTGTGCTGCGATTTTACTCGATTCAGAACAAAGTTTTAAAAGTGACCCTCATGTTTTATTAGATTTTAATTTTGTCATCAGGACTCACTAAAACAGATCATGTAAACTTTCCTGTACAGGACTTTTATAGTTGTTTTAGAAAAAGTCTGGTTTGTATTTTCCTCAGCGTGCTTTTATTTGAAACGTGTTTATGACCTCTCTAACAGATCATAATTATCTTACCCTTCGTAGTAAACCTCAGTATTTATTGAAAACCGCGTTTTGACATCAGATGAACTTTTAAAATGGCGCTTGAAGAGGTTTTATTTACGATTCGCGTTTTTCCGTTCAGCCGGACCGTTTTGTCCCTCGGCGGTACCGGTTCAGGTCACTCCCATTTCCTCGCGCACGGATTGTAGTTTCAGTCGTTTCAGTGAGTTCGCGGAGCGGAGCAGTGACGCAGTGGCTGCGGCTAACGGCTCCGAGTCTAGTCGAAATGGACCGGTTCTGGTTAAAATGCTGACGTCCGGACCGCTCGCCGTCTGACATGGACGCTGGTGACGTCAAGGTACGTTGTATGTTCCTGGTTCTGCTGAGCAGACCAAACAGGCCGCCATGGTTTGGTTCCGTGAACAGGAACTTTGTGGCTGCGGCAGCTCCTGTGGTCTTTAGCTGACCGGAAATGAAAAGGCTAACTCGGGCTGAGGTCCAGTTTTAAAGAAGCTGGATGTCTTCCCGTTTGTCGACCTGAACGTTATCTTTCCTAGCTAGCTGCAGCTAACTTTAAATGGCTGCTGCTGGGTTTGAATCAGCTGCATGTTTTTATTCGGAGTAACAGTCCTGATAAAGGTTCGAGTCCGGAGGAATGTTGTTGAGAGGCGTGGAGCTGTCAGCGCGGAGCTGGTTCTTCTGCATGCCTGGCATTCCTCTGCAGAACCTCTGGTTCTGGATCAACCTTTAACTCGGAGCCTGCTACTGCCACTTCTGCCCCAGGATCTAAAAGCAGTTTTATGATCTGTGATGTATTGGTCTAATCCGAACCAAGGAAAACATCTGTTGAGCTGAGGGTGGGCTACAGTGTTCACCCTGTGTTTGTTAGCAAAATATCTCATGACCCAGAGGCCTGATGTCAGTGAAAATCACTACATGGGTATTTAACCTGGTTTAAGATGGCCGCCACAGCTAGTCGACGATAACTCTTCCAAAATCAGTCGGTTGTTGAGCTAAGGTAAGTGTGGTAGTTGCTGAGAGTGATCCCTGCACATCCTCTGGGAGCTGCACGGTTATATTTAAATATATTTAAATATAAAAGTGTTTATGATCAGAGCAGCTGTAGGTCAAAATGTTGTTTATTCATCCTTCAGCGGGACACAAACGGATTAATCAGCTACTCTTAATCATCAGCACCGAACATTTCAACCTTCCAAACATTTAAACTAATTACCCAGAAGCAGCAGCTGCTACAGTAGCCGGCTGTACAAGGGTAGTTAAAACCACTCTAGTAAGACATTTATCAAATGTTGTTGGTAATAAAAATGTTGGAAAGGAGCTGTCATTCATACACCAGACAGGTGAGCCGGCAGGTAGACCGTGTTTATTCCTGCACTGAGGAAGGAGATCATGTAACGTTAGCGCTCAGCTGCTTACAGCTCAGGACGCTTTCTGTTCAGACTCGGGGTCCAAACGGGTCGATTGAAACACTACTGATGTGAAGATAAACAATCAGAGCTGTGAGATCAGTGGACTGGGTCAGTTCAGCTCGGTTCTGTCATCCTCAACAGAGTTCCATCTGGGTCTGACCTCACTGCCTCCTTCACAATCACAGCTGTTCACACACTCAAACACACACTGATACACAGACACACTCTGGTGCAGACAGACAGTTTAGTTGTGTGTACATCATGTTTCTGTCTCACTTTCTCATCGTTTAACTGCTTCAAGGTGTCACACTGACCTGGGAGGTGTAATTGGCTTATCTGGTACCGCCTCTTGTTATCCTCTCAGACCTGATCCTTTAACCGAGTCCAGTAATACAGATCCACGGCCTCAGACTGAGAACCGATTTTTCAGATCACCTGAGGACAAGTCAGAAAGACGTCCACAAATGGCAGCAGTGGGACAATAGTTGTTTGTCCTCCAACGCTCCATTCATCCGTCCCCTCAGAAAGATGGGTCTTTGTCTTCTGAACCCCGTCACCTCCTCCCATCATCTGCAGAAAACCAAAGACCATCTGACAGGTCCAGGCCGGCCTGTGGTTTTCAGAGTTCCCCATGTTCAAATCTTTCAGTTAAAACCCATTTTAAGCACACGATACAGTTTTAGGTCTCTGTCGGGGTAAACATGGGCCATGTTGTTTTTGTCCCTGTGGGACAGCCTTCTCTCCTTTATACTCATGGTTATAATTAACATCCAGGACCATAAACCAGACCAGAGGGACAGAACCAGGTTTCAGTTCTGATCTGGACAACCTGTCTCCTTTTATTGACAATGTCAAACCAAGATATCCTTTGTTGTCCTGTACAAAATACACCTGGCTGTTGCTTCACAACGACCATCTCCTCAGAACGTTGTTAGCTGTCTTAGCTTCTAGCTTCTGTTCTGCTCATTTTAGCTTTTAGCTGCTGTTTTTCTAGCTCAGTCTTTTAGCTTTTGTTCTGCTGAGTTTAAATTTACATTAGTTTTAGCTTATTCAGCAGATTTCAGCAGTCCTACAGCTCATTTTAGCTCATTTTTCTGGTTCTAAACTTTAATAACCACGGTTCCTTTAACAATCGAGCTGACTGGCTGCTGCTTAACGACCTGATGTCTCGTGCATCACGTGTTTACCTGTCTCACCTGACGGTTCTGTCTGTCTGCAGGATGTGAAGCTTTCTCCTGAGGTGGAACCGTTCATCCCACAGAGAAAAGGTTTTGAAGGATCTATAGTCGGCATGAGTCTCTCCGGTGAGGCTGGAGGAGGCAGCGGGGTGGAGACGACACCCATACCCAGCTACCTCATCACCTGCTACCCCTTTGTCCAGGAGAACCAACCCAACAGGTACTGTGGGTCCTGAAATTCCAGCTGACAGTCCCAGAAGGTCTGGTTGTGTAAATTATTCGTGTTCTGGGACTTTTTGGCTCATTTTAGAAGGAAGAACTCAGAGAAATGTTCTCCTCTGTGAAAGATTAAACTTCAGATTTAGTCAGAGGCAGAAGAGTGAAGCGGGTTGGTTCTGAATGGAAACCCGTCCAGTTTCAGATTTGACTCTGGAGCAAAGCGTTCTGTCCGTTTGTAGCAGCTTTCCTTTGTTCCCAGAGAAGGTCCGTTTCCTGCGACCCGTCGGCTCCTTCAGTTTCCTGCTGCAGCGTATGTGAGGAAACTTCGGCCGTCTTTATTACCACACAAATCTGTTGTCTTTTATTTCTGAACTTTTTTTTTTTAACACTTGTTTGTTTTGTTATTTGTTTGGAGAGAACTCATTAGTAAACTAAAAAAACGTGGTCATGCTCGTCGTTTGTTTATCTTGCTCTAAAGTTGATCAAGTAAATAGTTGTTGTGAATAACCGTCACGCTCTGTTCTGGTTGTAAACAGCAGGAAGAGTCCAACATGTTCTGGTTCTGTTCGTCCTCAGGCAGCATCCTGTGTACAGTGGAGGGGAGCTGCGCTGGCAGCAGCCGAACCCGCCCCCTGGGGGTCCATACTTGGCCTACCCCATCCTGTCCTCCCCCCAGCCTCCCGTCTCGAACGACTACACCTATTACCAGATCATGCCAGCTCCCTGCCCCCCTGTCATGGGTTTCTACCAGCCCTTCCCTGGACCCTATGCAGGCCCGGTCCAAGCTGGCGTGGTCAGTCCGGTCTCTGCAGAGGTCGGTGAAAGGTCGTTATCTCTCGGACTGGCTTACGGACCGACCGCTCAGAGGGGGAGAGGCATGGTCCGGTCTACCATTCTGCCAAATGTACACAGTGTTTCTGTTAGCGCAGCATGATTTTGGACCTGTGCCCCGCTGGTTCTCACCATCTGGTTTGTCTGCAACAGCCTCACCTGGGTGTGGGCCAGACTCTGAGGGGCCGCCGGCCTCCAACTAGAAGCATAGCCGTGCAGAAGGAGGTGTGCACGTTGGCTCCAGATGGAAGGACCAAGATCATTATGTTGGTGGATGCTGCACAGCAGACAGGTGAGAGACAACCCATCCTGTGGTTCTGTTCTGATAACGGGTCAATCAGACTCATTCAGGCTGTACGTAGAGCTTCTCAAAGTATGGGGCGCAGTCCCAAAGGCATGTTTATTTAAACTTTTATTTTACCAGGAAAGAAATCCATTGAGATTATTAATCTCCTCTACAAGGATGTCCTGGGCATGTGGTTGGTTCATTCAGTTATTAAAGCTGTAGGTGGAACTAATGTTTAGACTTAGTGTCAACCTGGACTTGTTTTTGTGTCACACAATGTTTCCATGATGATTAGATGGACGGGGGGGGGGGGGGGGGGGTGTCTGCAGACAGGCCTCCTTGGAAAATGTATGGTGTTCTGATTGGATCTCTGGTCTCCAACTACGGGGACATTTTAGGGTTAACAGTCCCGTCTCCTGTCAGGGACAGAGTCAAGAAGCGTACCGCAGGTCGAGCATGAAGCTTTTTAAAGAACTGGAATGCTGACAGTCTAGTTGGAGAGGTTCACACGTGCACAGCTCATCGTTCCACCAGGCCCGGATCAGTTTCGGGGAAAATTCTTGAACTGGTGCAAATAGTTTAGTACCAAGCTGGGGTTTTCTAAACCTGTTGTGTAACAAATGTCATGTGGCTTGTGTCTTCAGGTGTCCTCTGACTGGTTTCTCACCAACATTAGTTTTTATTTTAAATTCTTTAACGTCTCCAGATTTCCCAGGTGAGGTGCCGGGTCGAGGTTCTGCAGAGCGGGTCAGTCCTCTGATGTGGAAAAACAGAACCAAGAGAAGACGGACGCCTCATCAAGCTGAGAGCCACAGCGAGCAGGGCGCCAGCGAGGCGGACATCGACAGTGACAGCGGTTACTGTAGTCCCAAACACAACCAGGCAGCCGGGTTGGCCCAAAGACCTGCAGAGAACACTGCAACGCCTCTGGTATGTTGGTTCCAGATCCAAAGACCTGAACAATAAAATACAGGCTTTAAAAAGCGTCAGAAACATGGTTCTAAACCTCCACAGGTTCTGAAAGTTCTCAAGTTTTTATGTTTTCTATCTTCCTGCAGATGGAGCCAGCCATCATGGCAAGTAAGTCCCTCGCAGGCTGCCGTACTCACCGTTTACTAACCAGAACATCAGTCCAGCACTGGATCATTGTCTGTATGATTTATTCTATAGGAGGCAGCTGGGTCCACGTAGCATCTCAGGCGACCCAACAGCCTTGGAGGGACAGAACCGGGCCATTCCAGAGGAAGAATCCTGACCAGATAATCCTGCCTCAGGTAAAGTGTTTCTGTTCAAATGAAGTACAGTTTGTGCTCAAACCCACCGGTTCAGAACCTTGAGACACACTGAGGACATTAAACGCTGATGTCATCAATTTGTTCCCATCAGTAATACCTGTTATCAGTATTTGGGCCGTGTTCTGAGTTCTGAGGTGGCAGTTCAGGCTTCAGGTGTCTGCAGGTCCACGAGTCATTCTGATGTTGTTTAACACGACCTCCTTTCAGTTACAGCTTCAAAATGTTTCTTCTCGTTGGTCCTCTGTTTCCAGAATTTTCTTAATGGCTATCCAGGACGACTCACAGCCAACCAGTCAGAACCAAGGCTGCAGCCAGCAGGGGTCACTGGTACCGATCTCACTCCAGAACCACTTTACTTTGAGGTGAGAGGAGGTTGCACTTCTGTTTCATCATGTATCACATTCACAGTTTGCAGTCCAAACAAAGAGGTTCTGTATGTTTTCTAAGGATGAAGACGAGTTTCCAGATTTGGGCAACGGAGGGTCTGTCCAGATCCGCAACAGACCTGAATCTGCTCCTGCTCAGAACCACACACAGCCCAAACTGCCCAAAAACCTGGTGAGACTAAAATCTTATGGAACACAAGACTCTGAGTGGAGACTTCTGCAAAACGGGACTTTTTTTTTTTTTTTTTTACAAATCTCTGCTGGAACCAACCACTTCCTGCACAGACGTAAGCTTTCAGAACCAGGGAGAACCTGGAGGAACCAAACGAGGCGTGCTTATAAACACGTCCCATTATAGCCGAACTGGGCTCATTGTGGGGACATGAAGCCTTCAGAACCGGTTTATAGAAACTGCCAGGTTCTTGTTGACGTGTGACAGACGTCCCGTTCAGATCGTTTTTAAACGGGTCAGAACCTCAGAGTTGAGGTTCTGTTTGTGGGGATGAAGCAGCTCGTCCAGTTTCTCCTCAAAAAACCTGTTTGTTGATGCTGTTTTTTAGGCTCTTAAATCCTGATTGTACACACCCAGTTTCATCACTGCATGACATGCCCACCGTCCAGGCTCCCTTAGAACCATCCAGTCTCCGTTATAACCGTCCAGATTTTGTGTGGTCCAGGCTTCGTTAGAATTGCCCAGGCTCCCGTCCAGTCTCCTTTACAACCGGTGCAGGCTCCGTCAGAACCATCTGGGCTCCGTTAGAACCATCCATGTAGCATTTTATTTTTGGATTGATCGCTTAAATCGGGTTTTCTGGGTTCCTGCTCGGCTGAGCTGTTTTGAGCAGATTTTATTTTAAGAATTTTTTTTCCCCGGTCCCTGCATGCAGAGCAGCTGGACCGTGGGTGGACTCATGTCTTCGTCTCAACATGTCTTCCAGCTGGACGACCTTCCAGAGAACTCTCCTATCAACATCGTCCAGACTCCCATCCCCATCACCACCTCAGTTCCTAAGAGGGCCAAGAGCCAGAGGAAGAAGGCTTTGGCTGCTGCTTTGGCCACGGCGCAGGAGTATTCTGAAATCAGCATGGAGCAGAAGAAGCTGCAGGTAGAACCAGAACCTCCTGATCAGTCTGTTTCCTTTCACCTCCTAACTTAGACTCTGTGTCTGTCCTGGCAGGAAGCGTTCATCAAGGCTGCAGGGAAGAAGAGTCGATCGTCCGTGGAGCTGGACCTGGGCGACATGCTGGCTGCTCTGGAGAAACAGCAGCAGGCCATGAAGGCCCGGCAGCTGACCAACACCAAGCCTCTGTCCTTCACAGGTACCCCCCTCCGCCCTATCGGTCCTTCAATGCACGAGGAGTTAAAACACTTCATCTGATTCTCTTTAACTCCTCCCAGTTGGAACAACGGCTCCGTTCCACAGCTCGGGCTGCAGCGCCGTGACCTCCATGATCCGAGGCCCGCAGCAGCTGAGCCCTCAGAACGCCTTAGACACCACGGCCCGGGTCAAGAGGGGCAAGGAGAGGGAGGTTCCTAAAGTCAAACGGCCCACGGCTCTTAAAAAGGTAGAGATGTTAAACCATTCAGTGGAGCAACATGTTTGGTTATTTTACTGAACTCAAGAGAGTTCTGTCATTCCTGCAGATTATTCTGAAAGAACGGGAAGGAAAGAAAGGAAAGCCCAGTGCAGAACAGGAGAACCCAGGTCACGAGGAGCCCGAGGACGAGAACCTGCAGTTTGGTGATGATCTGGAGCGAGAACCTGCTTCCCAAGAAGGTAAATATGCTGCACAGTGTTTAGAAGTTTACAAACAAAACACAAGAACCCAAATGGAGATTATTCAAATAATCTGCTCAGTGTTTCCCCTAAAAGACTAAAAACCACATCCGTGTGCTGTCACAAGATTTACATGCATCACATTTTAATGTTTGTATTTCTTTACAGTTCTGGTCCAGAAAATGACTCATTGTATTAAAACAAAAATAAATAATAAAATAAAGACATTCACTCAGATTTAAAACCTGAAAGTTCTGTTTTTAGAGGGAACATGAAATAAACCAGAGTATTACTTCTTTATGACATAGTATCCTGAAATAAAAAAAGACTACTTTATTCGTCTTTCTTTTCAGTGGAATAATTTTCTGTTGTTCAAGTTGTTCTGTTATTTTCAGGTGAATCCATGTCCTTTAAAAAAACATTTCAGGGAATATCCGTTTGATTCAGGTACAGACAGGATGTGAAGCTTTTACAGAATAATTAATAAATCTAGACCAGAAGGGAAATGCAGTTTGTATTTGTATCAGGAGCATTGCTCAGATGAAGGAACATCTGAACTGCTTCAACTTTCTCATCCTGTTGTCTGAAACATCGAAAACTGTCTCAGGTTTGAGACAAAGATGCAAGGAGCCACTTCAGAGGAGCAGAAGGACCACATGTGGCTCCAGAGCCACAGGTTGCAAACCCCATAGAGGTGTGGGTATTAAACAAGCGCCTTTAGTCGCCTGTCAGATAGCAAACAATTAGGGATGCACCAATCCACATTTTTTTTACTTCCGATTCTGATCCCCAAATCTGGATATCGGCCGATACCATCCCAATATAGTTATTGATTTTATTTGAGGCTGTAATAATCTCAAGTACAATTTGTACAAATATATGCATGTCCAAAAAGGCAACATGAGGTAAGTTTTATTAACGGTGAATAAGTTTCAAAGTTACAAACCGGATTCCAAAAAAGTTGGGACACTAAACAAATTGTGAATAAAAACTGAATGCAATGATGTGGAGATGGCAAATGTCAATATTTTATTCGTAATATAACATAGATGACAGAACAAAAGTTTAATCTGAGTAAATGTAACATTTTAAAGGAAAAATATGTTGATTCAAAATTTCACAGTGTCAACAAATCCCCAAAAAGTTGGGACAAGTAGCAATAAGTGGAAGGAAAAAGGAAATTGAGCATATAACGAGCAGCTGGAAGACCAACTAACACTAATTAGGTCAATTGACAACATGATTGGGTATAAAAAAGAGCTTCTCAGAGTGTCAGTGTCTCTCAGAAGCCAAGATGTAAGAGGATCACCAATTCCACCATTGTTGCGTAGAAAGATAGTGCAGCAATACCAGAATGGTGTTACCCAGCGTAAAATAGCAAAGACTTTTAAGTTATCATCATCAACCGTGCATAACATCATCAAAAGATTCAAAGAATCTGGAGCAATCGCTGTGCGTAAGGGTCAAGGCCGTAAAACTCTACTGGATGCTCGTGATCTCCGGGCCCTTAAACGTCACTGCACCTCAAACAGGAATGCCACTGTCAAGGAAATAACAGAATGGGCTCAGGAATACTTCCAGAAAGCATTGTCAGTGAACACAATCCATCGTGCCATCCGCCGTTGCCAGCTGAAACTCTACAGTGCAAAGAGGAAGCCATTTCTAAGCAAGCTCCACAAGCTCAGACGTTTGCACTGGGCCAGGGGTCATTTAAAATGGAGTGTGGCAAAATGGAAGACTGTTCTGTGCTCAGATGAGTCACGATTTGAAGTTCTTTATGGAACACTGGGACACCATGTCATCCGGACCAGAGAGGACAAGGATAGCCCAAATTGTTATCAACGCTCTGTTCAGAAGCCTGCATCACTGATGGTATGGGGTTGCATGAGCGCTTGTGGCATGGGCAGCTTGCATGTCTGGAAAGGCACCATTAATGCAGAGAACTATGTTCAGGTTCTAGAACAACATATGCTCCCATCTAGACGCCATCTCTTTCAGGGAAGACCCTGCATTTTTCAACACGATAATGCCAGACCACATTCTGCAGCAATCACAACATCATGGCTATGGTAGGAGAAGGATCCGGGTACTGAAATGGCCAGCCTGCAGTCCAGATCTTTCACATATAGAGAACATTTGGTGCATCATAAATTAGGAAGGTGCGACAAAGAAGGCCCAAGACGATTGAACAGTTAGAGGCCTGTATTAGACATGAATGGGAGAGCATTCCTATTTCTAAACTTGACAAACTGGTCTCCTCTGTCCCCAGACGTCTGTTGAGTGTTGTAAGAAGGGGGGATGCCACACAGTGGTAAAAATGGACTTGTCCCAACTTTTTTGGGATTTGACGCCATGAAATTTGGAAACAACAGATTTTTCCCTTAAAATGATACATTCTCTCAGTTTAAACTTTTGATCTGTGCTTTGTGTTCTATTCTGAATAAAATGTTAGATGTTGGCACCTCCACATCATTGCATTCAGTTTTTATTCACAATTTGTTTAGTGTCCAAACTTTTTTGGAATCCGGTTTGTAGAATTAAATCCTGCTAACGCAAAACATGTTTTTTTTAAAGGGATTAGATGGCTTCAAACATCTGCTAAGTTCATGGCATTAACCAACACAGACATGTTCCTGTTTTTAGTATTTTACATGGCCTTAATGTAGCTGTTTTTGTTTTGTTTGTTTATATATATATATATATATATATATATATATATATATATATATATATTTATTTATTTATTTATTTATTATTTTTTTCTACAACTGATAGCAGTTGGTCATTAATTACGATGAAGTTTAGCAACTTCTCGGTAAACATTCAAGCTCTGGGGCTTCAGCGGTGTGTTACTGTCATTCAGTCCGGAGAAGGAAGTCTGATTTCCGTCAGCCAAGCTCAGTCTGCTCCTTGTCCAAGACGGGCAGAGTGAGCGGGACAGACTGAGCACGGCTGCCCGAAATCAGACTGCCTTCTCTGGACTGAACAACAATAACACACTGCTGAAGCCCCGGAGCTCGAATGTCCAACGTAAAACTAAGTTTACCACAGTTTAATGTGGTGCTATGGCTCTGCAGACATTGCACGTGGCTGTCTAGTTTTGTGGTGTTCTAGTGTAAAATACTTCCACACAGCGGACATGTTTAGATGAAAAGTTGGTTAGCTGTTAGCCACAGTGCTACTGCACGTTGTAGCTGGCTGCAAACTATGAAAAGGATTTCCTGAAAATGAGGCGAGTCTTATTACTCTGGGTTCATGAGACATTCCTCCATTCAGGAAATCCATTCTATAGTTTGAAGCCAACTTGCAAAGCAGCTGGCAGGGAATCACATGTGGAGACATTTTACTTGGACGCAGACATGCATCATGGATTGGAACTCTCTGCAGGTTGGATCGGAAAAATCCGATACGTAAATTATTCTGGTATCGGAGCCTGATACAGATACTGGATCGGATCGGACCCATCCCTATAAATGATGGTTGTTAAGGAAGGTTAGGGTTCCTCTGCGACCAGAAACCACCATCTTCCTGCTCCTGTTTTAGTACCAGCTGTGACTCATGATCTGATTGTTGTTTGTTTAACAGAGAACGGTCTGAGCGTGCCCAGTGACGCCTCACTCTCCCCAGCCAGTCAGAACTCTCCATACAGCATCACCCCAGTGTCCCAGGGTTCTCCTGCCAGCTCCGGGATCGGCAGTCCCATGGCTTCCAACGCCATCACAAAGATCCACAGCCGGCGCTTCAGAGAGTGAGTTCTCCCTCCTACCCTGCAGGAAATCTTCCAGGACCGGGGTGTCGGAGAAACGCTCCGTGCGTCTCACAGATCTTTGTCCCACTCAGACATCAGCTGGACTGTGGTGGTGATGTAAAACTGGTGAAGGTGGGACAGATGTTTGTCCTTCCTCAGCAGAAATGTTTGCCGGGCGGCTCAAACGGGTCTTTGTCCCTCTGCTGAGGGGCCATTGTTCCAGCCCACAACCCGGGAACAGATTCTGTGTCCTCCTTTTAGCTCAGACTGACTGGACCATTGTTGTCCAGATCCTCTCAGTTCTGACACAAACATGTCCCCACAGACATCCACCAGAGGTAAACCCAGCTCAGACTTCACAGCAGAACAATCATCAGAGTTTAAATGGGTCGCAGGAAATTGAACTGAACTGCTGTTTACACTTTTATACACACACAGCTGAACATGGAGGAGTTTACAGATTAAAACACAGAACGTTTAACTCGTCGCCCATCAGAAACAACTTCAACTCGCTCCTCAGAGAACTTCAGTCACATCCCAGCAGAGGCGCGGGACACTGAGCCCGAGTGGGTCATGTTCCATGGAGGCTGCCCCGAGCAGTGGCCATCCTCGTACCTGGTGGTAGACACCCCGGTTATGGAGTCCATCAAGCTGAAGAATCCTATTGGGCCTTGGTGGCTGGTAGGACTGTGGAGGAGCTGAGTTGGCGGGTCAGGCTCTGTGTGGGAGGGTTCAGTGGGGTCTGGGCCTGGAGGCAGCCTAACATGCATGTTAAAGGAATGTGGGAGGAAAGCAGAGAAAACTCACCCAAACAAAAGGAGAACATGTAAACTCCACAGAGAAAGACTCCAGGTCCAAACCAGAGCTTGGAACACAGCTTGCTGTGAGGTAACAGTGTTAACCACTGATCCACCGTGATGCCAGATATTACTACAACATGAAGTCCTGAATTACTGTTGGGTTTTAAATAAAAACAGTCTGGAGCTGCACCCGTCAGCATCCTGCTGAGAGCTCTGAAGCTGGCTGACCTTATCTCCGCTCCCTGCAGGTACTGCAACCAGGTGCTGAGCAAAGAGATCGATGAGAGTGTGACTCTGCTGCTGCAGGAGCTGGTTCGGTTCCAGGAGAGGGTCTACCAAAAGGACCCCACCAAAGCCAAGTCCAAACGCAGACTGGTAATGGGTCTGAGGGAGGTCACCAAGCACATGAAGCTGCAGAAGATCAAGTGTGTGATCATTTCTCCCAACTGTGAGAAGATCCAGGCCAAAGGTGACTGATGGACCTGGCGGCACAGATCTGACTCGTTACTGAACCTGTTGTTGTTTGACCCTCTGGTTGTGTTGCAGGAGGTCTAGATGAAGCTCTGTACAACGTCATCGCCATGGCGAGGGAGCAGGAGATCCCGTTTGTGTTTGCTTTGGGTAGAAAAGCTTTGGGTCGCTGCGTCAACAAGCTGGTTCCCGTCAGCGTTGTTGGGATCTTCAGCTATTCTGGAGCCGAGGTAAGAATCTATCTCTGAGGTCACCTCACCTGAGGACAGGTACAAACCTAATGCTCTTTGTCTCCTTCAGGGTCTCTTCAACCGCCTGGTGTCCCTGACAGAAGAAGCTCGGAAGGCCTATAAGGACATGGTGTCTGCTCTGGAGCAGGAGCAGGCTGAAGAAGCTCTGAAGCATGACAAGAAGGTCCCTCACCACATGGGCCACTCCCGGAACCACTCTGCTGCTTCCGCCATCTCCTTCTGCTCCATCTTCTCCGAGCCCATCTCCGAGGTCAACGAGAAGGAGTATGGTGAGTTATCGAACTGGTTCTGGCCCTCTGAGTCATCAGAACTACTGTTGTCCTTTGTTATTGATGATTGATTAATTATTGTGGTTCTTTTCAATGAAGTTTGAATATTTTCTTCTCAGAGACCAACTGGAGGAACATGATGGAGTCCTCAGACGCTCCCGATCCTGCAGAGACAGAACCCAGTCGTCCAGCACCTCCTCCGGTCACTCACAAAGATCCTGACACCCCTGCAGCCAATACCAACCCCGTCCCACCTAGCCCCACCACCCCTCAGTCCAGAACTGGACCTCCTGGACCCGGCGACAGAGACGAGGTCCGAGCCGACGACCGCCTGGAGCTGGCCTCACAGAGCACAGAGACCGGGTCCTTGGACGGGAGCTGCAGAGGCCCGCTCACCTCCTCCATCACCTCCACCACATCCACCCTGGTCCCCGGGATGCTGGAGGAGGCTGAGGAGGAGGAGGAAGAGGAGGAAGATGACACTCCCGAACCCATCTCTGTGGAGGTACCGACTCTCAGCAGCCGCATTGACTCCTGGGTGTCGAAGACCCTGGAGAACCTCCACCTGGGGAAAAACCAGGAGAGTACAGAGGAGGAGGAAGAGGAGGAGGAGGAGGAGGACAGGGGGCAGAGTGAGGAAGAGGAGGAGCTTGATTCAGCAGACGTCACAGAGACTCAAGATGGAAATCAAGAAGGAGATGGGACGAAGACAAAAGAGTTCGTCTCGGTTTGACTCCTGACTTCAGGTGTTTACTCAGGTATCTGACCAACACACAGACGCACACACACACACACACACACACACACACAGAGACACACACACACACACACAGAAACACGCAGATTTCCCTTTCTGCAGACCAAACTACATGTGCTGGTCATAAAATTAGACTAACATGAAAAATTTGATTTATTTAAATAATTCCATTCAAAAAGTGAAACTTGTATATTATATTCATTCATTACACACAGACGGATATATTTCAAAGGTTATTTCTTTTAACGATTATAACTGACAACTAATGAAAACCCCAAATTCAGTATCTCATAAAATTAGGACATTTCTTAAGACCAATTAAAAAAAGCATTTTTAGAAAAGTTGGCTAACTGAAATGTATGAACATGAAAAGTATGAGCATGTACAGCACTCAGTATTTGGTTGGGGCTACTTTTGCCTGGATTACTGCAGCAATGCGGTGTCTGGTGTAATGCATCTTCCTCTTTACAATACCCTATAGATTTTCTATGGGGTTAAGATCAGGCGAGTTTGCTGGCCAATTAAGAACAGGGATACCATGGTCCTTAAACCAGGTACTGGTAACTTTGGCACTGTGTGCAGGTGCCAAGTCCTGATGGAAAATTAAATCTGCATCTCCATAAAGTTGGTCAGAATCAGGAAGCATGAAGTGATCTTAAACTTCCTGGTAGACTGCTGCATTGACCTTAGACCTCAGAAAACACAGTGGACCAACACCAACAGATGACATGGCACCCCAAACCATCACTGACTGTGGAAACTTGACACTGGATCTCAAGCAACATGGATTCTGTGCCTCTCCTCTCTTCCTCCAGACTCTGGGACCTTGATTTCCAAAGGAATGCAAATTATACTTTCATCAGAGAACATAACGCAGCACGGTGGCGCAACTGTTAGAGCTGCTGCCTCTCAGCGAGCAAGTCCCTGGTTCAAATCCTGGTCCGGGGGCCTTTCTGGGTGGAGTTTGCATTTTCTCTCCGTGCATGCGTGGGTTTTCTCCGGGTGCTCCGGTTTCCTCCCACAGACCAAAAACATGCATGTTAGGCTGATTGGTAACTCTAAATTGTCCCTAGGTGTGAGTGAGAGAGTGAATGGTTGTCTCATTTGTCTTTATGTAGCTCTGTGATGGACTTGCGACCCGTCCAAGGTGTACCCAGCCCCTCGCACAGTGATTGCTGGACATGGGCACTGGCGACCCCCATGACCCAAAATGGAAGAAGTGGGTAAAAGATAATTGATGGATAGAGAACATAACTTTGGATCACTCAGCAGCAGTCCAGTCCTTTTGGTCTTTAGCCCAGGCGAGACGCTTGTGATGCTGTCTCTTGTTCAAGACTAGTTTAACACAAGGAATGCAACAGCTGAACTCCTTGTCTTGCATATGTCTGAGCATGGTGGTTCTCGAAGCACTGACTCCAGCTCAGCTGCTGTCCACTCTTTGTGAATCTCCACCATATTTTTGAATGAGTTTTGTTTCACAATTCTTTTCAGGGTGCGATTATCCCTATTGCTTGTACTCTTCTTTTCTACCACATCTTTTCCTCCCCTTTGCCTCTCTATTAATGTGCTTGGACACAGAGCTCTGTGAACAGCCAGCCTCTTTAGCAATGACCTTTTGTGTCTTGCCCTCCTTGTGCAAGGTGCCACTGGTCGTCTTTTGGACAACTGTCAAGTCAGCAGTCTTCCCCATGATTGTGTAGCCTACAGAACTAGACTGAGACCATTTAAAGACCTTTGGAGGTGTTTTGAGTTAATTAGCTGATTAGAGTGTGTCACCAGGTGTCTTCAGTATTGAACCTTTTCACAATATTCTAATTTTATGAGATACTGAATTTGAGGTTTTCATTAGTTGTCAGTTATAATCATCAGCATTTAAAGAAATAAACATTTGAAATATATCAGTCTGTGTGTAATGAATTAATATAATATACAAGTTTAACTTTTTGAATGGAATTACTGAAATAAATCAACTTTTTCATGATATTCTAATTTTATGACCAGCACTTGTACTTTCAGCAGTCAGAGGGACAGAAACCAACTGATCCAAACACAAAAACCACAGCCTGAACTTTTGACTCAGAACCTTTGACTCAAAACCTTTGACTCAGAACCTTTGACCCAGAACTTTTGACCCAGAACCTGCAACACTTGAATCCAGAGGAGAACCTTCTCTGAAGCTGAACTCTTCAGTATTTCGCAGCCGTGTTCTGGTTTGGGTCTGAAGGTTCTGTCAGTACTTCTGTTTTGTTTGTTGTTTATTTGACTTGTTTACCATAACAAGGGGAGGTTTGTGTTTGATGGTGTTCTTAAAGTGTCCGGGTCCTTATGTGAACCAGAACCACTCCAACCATCACTTTTCAAGTGTTTTTAACTTTTAAATAATGATGTAATGTGTTCAGGAGCTGTGTGGACAGAACCCGGTCCGGTTGGTTCTGTCAGAACTTTTAACAGTCCGTCACACGTTCGTGTTTGTGTGAAACCTTTTCAGCTCACTTACAGAAATCCAGAGTCTGGTGAAAGAAACAAAACATTTGTCGTTTGGTCTTTAACTGTTTTTATAGTAAAGGAACCAGAACCCAAAGTTCTGTTTGGCCTCAACGGTACCGCTCAGGTTCTGTTCCTCTAACAAGTTCTTACTGGTGTTTGTGATGCTTAAAAATGTCTCCGGGTAAAAGTTTCTGTGGTTGTTGAGCTCTTCTGGATTAAGTTATTTATAAGCCCCCCCCCCCCCCCTTCCCCAGGTGTGAGTGCAGAAACCGGGTCAGCACCGAGTCCTGCAGAAACCGGGTCAGCACCGAGTCCTGCAGATAAAGTCTGTAAATAAAATGTATTGGGTTTGATGGTGAATCTGACACCAGATATGGATACAATTACTACAGTACTGCTACAGTAATTCTATAAGTTGGGTCCTCTACAGATACTGCTGTAGTACTACCTGTATAACACCAGATACTGTAGTACTACCTGTATAACACCAGATACTGTAGTACTACCTGTATAACACATGTAGCGCCACCTGTCGAACTTGTCAACACAGAGGTCCATTGAGCCAATCAGAGGGCAGAAGCTCCAAACCTTCAGCCAGGTAAACCTGCTGAAGGTCTGAGGCTTTCAGAACCTCGGGTTCTGCTGGGACCGGCTGTTCTGTGTTAACGAGTCGGACAGGTGGAGATGAGCCCAGGTGAGGGTTCATGAACAAAGTGGACGTCTGCAGCTCCGAGCCGCAACGTCTGAAAGATTTTTAATGAAGGGTACAGTGTGTGTGTGTGTGTGTGCGCGCGTGTGTGTGTGTGTGTGTGTGCGTGTGTTTGTAACAGCAGGTATTTTGCACTATGTATATAAAGTTGCGGTGAAGGTTGTGTATCTCATGTGAACACGAAGAATTGGTTTAATGAAGTACTTTTGTGTGTATTTGTACTTTCTGTGGATATTTAAACCTCTGATTGTTTAATCTTTGTCTGATTAACAATAAATGTTCTGTAAATAAATTTATTTGGACTCACGTCTTGTCTTCTTAACACAAACACACCTCACTGTCCGGACAGGAGGTAGTCGCTGAGTAAGCATTAAATGTTGCTGCATAAACACAGAGTCAGTGTTAAATGTTGCTACATAAATGCTGAGTCAGCATTAGATGCTCCTGTGTGAACGCTGAGTCAGCATTAAATGCTGCGAAAACTGAGTCACTGATAGATGTTGCTGCAGGAATGCTGAGTCATTAAATGTTGCTGCGAGTGCTAAGTGTTAAATGTTGCTGTGTGAATGTTGGGTCGGTGAGTCAACATTGATTGTTGCTGTGCGAACAATGAGTCAGTGTTAAATGTTGCTGCAGGTGCTGAGTCAGTGTTAAATGTTGCGTGAATGCTGAGTCAGCATAAAGTGCTGCTGCAAGCGCTGATTCGGTATTAATGTTGCATGAACGTTGAGTCAGCATTAAATGTTGCTGCATGAATGCTGACTCATTGTTAAATGTTGAACGCTGAGTCAATCTTAATTGTTGCGCGAATGCTGAGTCAGCGTAAAATGTTGCTGCAAGCGCTGAGTCAGTGTTAAATGTTGCGCACATGCTGAGTCAGCATAAAGTGCTGCTGCAAGCACTGAGTATTAATGTTGCATGAATGTTGAGTCAGCATTAAATGTTGCTGCATGAACACTGAGTCGATGTTAAATGTTGCTACGTGAATGCTGAGTCAGCGTTGGATGTTGCTCCGAGCACTGAGTCAGCATTCGATAAGCTGAGTCATGTGAGGTCAGCTAGTTCAATAGGAATATTTTAATCACAGCAGAAACTTTTTATGACAAAGTTCCTCAAGTCAAACAGAATTTTTTCCTTAAGTCTTGGGAGGTGAACTTGTGTTTGCTTGTTTTTTTTTTATTCTTTTCCAACTATGAGCAAAATGTTTCAAAACAAAAGTCCTTATTTAAAGCTTTAAACCTTTCAACTGAAAATAGTCAAATTATTAAAACCTCATATCACTGGAGAATTTAAATGTTTTCACTTTAAAGCCAAAATTATGTCAAAGTTTTAGTTTAAATTAAATGACTCCTGGATAATGCTTTTTTTAAATTAACAGTTTAAACAACAAAGTTCATGCTCAATCATCCAGGTACCAAATCCAGTAATGCTCAGTCAGGTCGTCTGGACAGTTTTTTATTTTCTAGAGACGTTTCACCCTCTATCTGGAGGGCTTCAGTCTGAGGAGCTCCAAGTAAACAGTTTCCCCACAAAGCAGTAAACTCCTTAAGTGGACCAACCAGTTTGCTAGAGATTCAATGGTTTCTGGGGGCTGTCCTGTCTCCCATCGACACCTCCCAGGCAGGCAGCCACAGCCAAAATGGTTCAAGGCAGCAAAGTCCATGCTCAATCATGCAGGTACCAAATCCAGAAACAACTAACCTTGATGTAGGAAGTTTGCTCAAAATTATGTTTAAATAATTTAATTCATTTTTTTTAATGTTTTTTTTGTTGTTGTTGTTTGTGACTGCGCCAGCGCCTGTTGTTCGGCGTATCGTTTTGCACAATTAGTGTTAAGCGTATTTCTTAGTTTATATCTTATATCCTTATTTAATGTTTCTTTTTACAATTTATTTTTGCTTTTGCTGGATGCAACTGGGACCCTGTGTACACAGTTTCGTTCCACCTCGTGTACCACATGTGATGCGAATGATAATAAAACCTACTTGATTGTTTTGGATGGGTGCGTTTTGCACGTGTTAAAAGCCTACTTTTGAGATTCCAAAAGGAGGTTGGCTTGAAACACAGCAGTGGAGGCTACGGGACAGATCTGGCTGGTAGGCTGTAGACTGAGGAAGTCCTCTGGATGGGGGACCAAACAGTTCTTAAAGAAACTGGTCCAGATGACACTATTTAACTTATGATTGAGCTAACAACCCTTTTTCACTAGAGGGCAGCAACGTTACTGTGAGGTCACAGGAACATCTGGATGGAACTATTCTGTCAACAAAAAATATATAGAATGATTTTTAGGCTGTCAGGAACAGTTGTGTCTATTAATAACATCAACAATAAATTAATAAATAAAAACAAACATGTGGCTTATTATTTCCTGCATGAGACCCCCTGAGTGTTGAAACTACAGGTAGAGCACCCACAGATGTTCAGCCAGAAACTGAACGTTTGATCGAGTTCTGAACACGGTCCATTAATGTTCATCTGAGTTAAACGACTGGACGGAACCGTCTGGAAGACGTCTCCACCTGAGCCAGGAGCTTCAGCAGCGATGAAGCGTTGTACGGGAAGAGCTCCTTCTTCTGCAGCCTTGTCACCGCCTGCCGAAGATCCCACAGGCAGAGGACGGCTCGGTCCATCGTCTCACTGCCTACCTGTCTCAGCAGAGGATGCTCACCTGGACAGGTCTGTTGACTCTGTAAGGACGGTTCTGCAGGTCTTGATGATTCTGATGGACTCTTGGATGCTGCTTCGACAGAAACTGGACGCTCTTCCCCTACAGAAAAGTCCTCAGCGGGTTCTGAACCAGACTCATCAGAACTATCATACTCTACAAGGCGAAGCCGTGCACCTGAACTCAACTCTTCCAACAAGTGAACATGTTCTGATCCACTGGTTCTGGATCCACACGCAGCAGTAAAACCCGGCCAAGATCCTCTGAGGAACTTCAGGTATCGTACAAAGTACTCCAGGAAGCAGGTCTCAGAGGAGATCAGGAAGTCCAGCAGAACGGTGTGGTCAAACGAGAAGCTCTGAAGCAGAAGGACAAAGTGGCAGTGAGGGTTGAAGCCAGAATCACAGGCCCGCTTCAGCTCGGTGACATCGTCTGCATCCAGGCCCGAACAGCGCCTGCAAGAACAGAACCAGTCCGAATGAGACGATCCACACCACGGGTCCAGAACAGAGACACAGAGAGAGAAAGACAGAGATAAAAAGACAGACTGAGAGAGACCGACAAAGAGAAAGACCAAGACGAGAAGACAGAGACAAGAAGACAGACAGAGAAAGAGAAACAGGCTCCTCCTCAAAGCTCATTATAAAAACATGAACATCAAAATCGTTTCTTGAAGAAACAAGACCAGCTGCACAAAACACTTTGTTTACCCACAACAGCCAAAGTGCCTGTTTCCCCACAGAATCAGCCGAAGCGCCTGTAAACAGGTCAGCTGTGGTGATGTTCATGTAGGAGCCGTTTTGGATGAAGAAGTCTGACAGTTAATTTGTTTGTCTTTACGATCAGATCTCCTGAGCACCGTCTGCAGATAAATCCATGTTCGGGTTGAAACTCAACCTCTCGCTCCAGAAGAAGTTTGGTTGTTGAATCGATCAATAAAACATTATCACCTGGAAACACGTGAAAATACCTGGAAATAAGGAACAAGGACAGACATGTCCTGAGAGCCTCCATCAGATCATCGTCCTGTTCCTCAAACAGCAGGTGGACCCAGCAGCAGAGGTGATCCACTCTCAGAGACCTGCTGAACCGGTTCAAGAAGTCCCACAACCTGTGGACATACCCACAGACCTCAGAGACACTGTCTACTCCTGCACAGAGGACAGAGAGGGACAAAAAGGACAGAGAGGGACAGCTCAGGTCATCTGACAGAGAACAACCAATCAGGAGGTCAGGTTGTAATAAGTTCCTCCCTCTCTGCTTCACTCAGCTGATCTCTGAACAGAGACGCACTGGACTTGACTTCCTGTTCCTGGATGATCTGAACCAGGAGGTGTGACGGTCCCTGCAGAGATGACTCATGCACGCGATGACGTGCACACACAAACTGCTCTGTTTGCTGCAGGTAAGGTGTTTACTTATGACTGTTGGACACAAACTGAACAGAGTTCCAGAAAACGTCCTCAAAGGTCTAAGGTTTGTTTTCGTGTCTCTTCGGGACTCGTATTGGTCCAAACTTCACCTGGACTTGGAACAAACGTGTTGCTCCAGATTAAAGTTTCTGTCTTGGACTTGTCCCGAACCGTCCCGGTCCACCGAGAGACTACGTTAAAACCAAATACTAATCTTCAGTGAGTCACAGCACAATTTCAGACTCATGAAGTTTTAACATCTGACCCGTTTGGCCGTTTGGGTCTCAGAAACTTGGTCGGTAGTTCAGAGTTTTGGCTCAAATGTCCCTCAGATTTGATCCAAACTTGTTCAGTGAGACTCCAGAGAAGGTTTGTGTCCTTCCTGGTTTCCTGTCTCAGACCTGTGAGGTCCTTCAACTTCCTAACAGCGGGTGTCCCTCAGCGGGACATGGACCACCTCAACCAATCAGAAACAGAACTTTTAAGGTTTTGTCAACAATAAACTGGACAGACCTTTGGAGCCACCAGTTTCTGCGGGGGGTGCTCCATGAGTATGGGATTGGGGGCCCGTTGGTATGGGCTGTTCAGTCCCTACACAAGCGGTGCAAGAGTTTGGTTCACATTGCTGGTAGTAAGTCGGACCCCTTCAGGGTGGGAGTTGGGCTCCACCAGGGCTGTCTGTTGTCACTGATTCTGTTCATAACTTTCATGGACAGAATTTCTCAGTGCAGCCAGGGGGGCGGAGGGATTCCGATTCGGTGGCCTCAGGATTCCATCACTGCTCTTTGCAGATGATGTGGTCCTGTTGGCATCATCGTGCCATAATCTTCAGCTCTCACCGAAGCGGTTTGGAGAGTGTGAAGCAGCTGGGCTGAGAATCAGCACCTCCAAATCTGAGGTCATGGTCCTCAGTCAGAAAAGCGTGGATTGCTCTCTTTGGGTCGAGAGTGAGGTTCTGCCTCAAGTGGAGGAGTTCAAGTATCTCGGGGTTTTGTTCACGAGTGAGGGAAGAATGGAATGTGAGATTGGCAGACTGATTGGTGCAGCATCTGCAGTATTGCGGACTCTGTGCTGGTCCATTGTGGTGAAGAGAGAGCTGAGATGTAAGGCAAAGCTCTCTGTTTACTGGTCAGCTTACGTTCCTACCCTCACCTATGGTCACGAGCTCTGGGTAGTGACCAAAAGAATGAGATTGCGGGTACAGGAGGTTGAAATGAGTTTCCTCCGCAGGGTAGCTGGACTCTCCCTTAAGAGATATGGTGAGAAATTCAGATATCTGGGAGAGACTCGGAGTACAACTGCTGCTCCTTCACATCAAAAAGTGCCAGTTGAGGTGGTTCGGGCATCTGGTAAGGATGCTTCCTGGGCGCCTCCCTAGGGAGGTGCTTCGGGTATGTCCGACTGGGAGGAGACCCCGGGGAAGACCCAGGACATACTGGAAAGACTATGTCTCTCGGTTGGCCTGGGAACGCCTTGGTGTCCTCCCAGAAGAGCTGGAAGAGGCAGCTGTGGAAAGAGATGCCTGGGCCTCCCTGCTCAAGCTGCTGCCCCAGCGACCCGACTTTGAAATAAGCAGAAGATACTGGATGGATGGATGGATGTCAGGAAAGGTCCTGTTTACTGACAACTGCAAAACATAATCAAAACAAACAAATGTGTGGCTGATGTTCCCCCATGAGAGGTTGGAGCCACCATCAGACAGGTTGTGCTGCCTGTAGGGCAGCGCTGGACTCACCTGCAGCATCCAGTGTTTGGAACTGAAGTTCTGTGGACTTGAGAAGGACCAGGCTGACAGCTCGGAACATCACACCGTCTGGTTTCGGACCTTCGTCTCCTCGGACGGGTCGTGTCCCTCCAAAGAAACCGCCTGGTTCTACCTGAACCGTCTGCAACCACCCGTCAGCCACTGCTGCCAGCACGCTCTGAGACAGAACCCTGAGGTCCGAGTTCAGGTCCTCGGACCTCGGTCCTCCCAAAGACCAGTCGTCTCCGACCTTCTGGAGTAGAAGTCTCTTGAGAAACAACAGCGTTCGGTTTTTAACAAAGTCCTGCGTGCAGCAGCTGATGGTTGTCAGGAGGGCTGAGAACCGGACCTGAAGTGGTCTCTGGCAGAACTCTGGTCCAACAATCAACCTGGATGCAGTCAGAACCTCCAGCAGGTCCAGCAGAAGGCAGAACGTTGTTTCCCAGGACCTCCTGAAGGTAAAACCCACCCAACATGAGGAGGCTTCAGGGAGCAGCTTGGAACATAAAGTCCTGAGGCTGAGGTCAAACGAAGACACCAGACGTCCAACAATCGCTGACGGAGGGACACACGGAGATAAAGGGACAAATCAGACAGCTAAACAGCCAAAGTTCGGCTTCATTCCTGTTGATATTTTAAATCTGAACCCAGGAACTCGTTGAGACACAGACCTGGGTTGGATCCTTTCAGAAGCTTTTTAAGGACCTCTGTCAGAGACCAGAGACAGGCGTCCAACTCTGCAACAGGACAGGAGCTGCAGAACGCCTGGACACACGTCTCCTGCCAAATGGGACACACCTCCCCCTGGAGACACAGGGGACATTTAGAAACAGATTTTAGCTCTGACCACAGCCAAAGAAAGAACAAATACAGATAAATCTGCTGGTCCTTCAACAAGAACCACAGACTGATGTGACCAGAACCAAACGGCCCAGTCTGGTCTCATCAGAACCTTTGGTTCTTGTGAGCATGACATTTTAGCCTCCTGGGTCTTCTTCATCATCAAGATTCAAAACAGGATGATCTTTGATGTCTTAGTTCAGCTTCAGCTCCTTTTCTACCATTTATCTCTCTGATCAACCTGGGGTTGCAATTCCCCTTGCGTCCATGTCCTGGGAGGTTGTCCACAGCCTCGTGAACCTTCTACTGTTGAATAATCTTGTCAGCTGTGGTCAGAGGAACCTGAAGCAGCTTGGACACGGTCTTGTAGTCTTTACCTTCAACATGGAGGTCTATAATCAGACAGCTCTTTGGTTCTGCTCCGTGAACAGAACCGACCCAAACCACCCAGAATCTGTTCCTTGAACAGGCTGAAGGTCTGATGGAGATACTGATTCAGGTCAAACAGTTGGAAACACGACCAGATTGTAAAGGTTACCGGGTAATCGTGTCTTTAAGAGACCAACAAACCAGTTTTAAGAACAAACTATTTGTTTTTGTTTACTTCGCTCGCGTCCATCAATAAAAAAATATTTAAACAGATTTTATTTACAGTTCATTCTCGTTTACACCACAGAACTGTACGAGTATCTGTTAAGGTTCATTAGTTACACGATCGCCCGTCAGCACCCACACACTACAGGAGACTGTACAAGACATGACCAGTTGTTACATGATTGCCCGCCAGTACTCACAGACTTCCGGAAACGGTAGAGGACACATAGGGACACGGTCTTTGCAGCCAGATGTGAGATCAGCTGATCCTCCGCCTGCAGCAGCTGCACCTGGACACACATCAGCTGTCTTTTACATCATTTGATTTCTTCAGTGTCTGCTTGGACCCTGGTGGACCGGAACCACAGGAACCCACCAGCTGAGACATCAGATCTAGGTCTTCAAGCAGAACCCTCAGAATCTCATCCCAGAGGCCCGCGGACTCTGCAGGCAGGTTCTGGAGAACCAGACTACAGCTGAGCTTCTTCAGCAGACTCACACAGATGGAGGTCAGCTCCCAGCTGCTGCACGTGTCTTCTCTCGGCACCCGTCCACACAACCCGGAAAGAATCTGAACCGCGACATCCCGACAGCTCGGTTCTGGACAGAACCCGCTGGTAAAACACTGGTAAAGATCCGTCATAACCTGAAAGAGTTCACCAGAGGACGACGGTGAGCAGGCAGCAGCCATGTTTACTTCTCTTTCCTTCTTCTGTGTCTTCTTCTTCTGTGTTTACTAATGGCTCAGAACAAGGAGGCGGAGTTTAGCGCCCCCTAATGACAGGGAGGATACCTGACGTTCAGATTAAAATTTTAATTGATTCAACCTTTATTTATACAGGTTAATCCCATTGAGATTCTGGGACTCATTTACAAGAGAGACTTTAATTTTTTTAACAAAGAGTGGTGAGAAAATTATTTCAATTTTCAATTCAGTTAATTAAAATAAATTAAGTTATTTTATTTAACATAATGCATGCTCAATAATCCAGGTAGAAAAATCTAAAAAAGTTAAATCTGGTCCTCTGGACATTCAAAAAACAAAACAAAGCAAAAACAAGAAAAAAAATTGTAGAAACGTTTCGTCTTTCAATCCCAAAGACGTCCTCAGTCTGAGGTGCTGTATTCAGCTCAGTCTTGTAATTAGCACCTTCTCAGAGTGGATCAACCAGTTTTGCTGCTGACAACCAAAACCAGCTGCTCACATGATCAAGAAGGACCATCAGCCTAACGATGGATCATTAGCTCACTAATGGCTGTTTATTATTCACAGGGGGCTGAGTGATACTAGCAATAACAGCAGTGTAAGAGGGGGACAGATGAACACGGAGGCCTCCACCCCTGTTTAATGATGGGTGATTTTTTTTCACAAAGATGGCCTCCTTTACTCCTCTCTCAAACCATCGTTCCTCTCTGTCCAGGATGTGAACAGCAACAACATCAGGCCAGGACTCTGCGGTCTACACTCATCTCCAGGCCAGCGGTCACTCTTTCAGGCATTTATTTTCTAAACATGACAGTCCAGTGGCTTTCAAACGCCACACTACGTAGGACTATCTACAAAGGAATCTCTCAATAAGCTTACCAGGCGAGTTAGCTCTGTTCTGGGAGTGGAACTGCAGTCTCTGGCAGATGTATCTAATGGAACTAATGGAAAACCAGCTACTTCTCCTTTAAGCCAAACATCTACAAATCAAATCTCCTTCAAGTCAATCTTCAGTAAACCACACCTTCACATTTTCACTGTTGGTGAGGTTAATAAATTGTTAAAAGATCTAGAGTCTAAAAGATCTCCAGGTTCTGATGACCTTCCACCTTATTTCTTAAGGTTGGTTGCACACGTTATTGCAGAACCGGTGTCTCACATCTTTAATCTGCCCATAAACCAAAACATCATTCTAAACACTTGGAAAACAGCTTTTATATTACTTTTACTGAAGGGAGGAGACCTCACCATATTGAACAATTATCGACCAATCTTTAAACTCTGTATTTTAGCTAAGGTCCTAGAAAAACTGATAAACGCTCAAATTAAAAAAGTATTTGGATTCTTTTAACATCTTACCTACCCATCAATCTGGTTTCAGGAAACAACACAGCACTGTATCGCTAAAGGTTTTTAATGATGATGTTGAAGCACCAGATGCTAAGGACTACTGTGCTGCACTTTATTTAGACCTGTCTAAAGCTTTTGACACTGTGGACCATAACATCTTATGTCATAAGCTCTCAGAAAGTGGTTTCTCAGACCACACACTAACCATATCTCTCAGATTGGAGTCAATGTGTTCAATATAATGGTACTTCTTCCATTTATCTAACTTTTAACAATGGTGTACCACTAGGTTCAGTCTTAGGCCCCATCTTCACAATCTATTTAAATAATGTAGGTCAGATCATCCCTGATGCATCTTTACATTTCTATGGTGACAATACAGTTGTTCATTGTCGAGCTAAAACAGTTGCTAAGGTTTTCCAGCTTTTGCAGTCTGTGTTTGACATCATCCAGTCAGATTTGTTCCATCTAAAACTTGTGCTAAACACTGACAAAACCAAAGGGATGTTGTTTTCAAACAGGAAGTCTGTCCCAGAAGTCCTTCTTTCTATTTTATCTTCGAACGGCGTTGCTATTGATTGTCAATTCTTACAAATACTTGGGTATCTTGGTAGATTTGCATATTTCGAAAACTTGGTAAAGAAACTGAAAGTAAAACTGGGTTTCTTTTTCAGAAATAGATCCTCCTGTCTAACTCTGAACTCTAGGAAACACCTTGCGACTTTCCTTCCCTCCATTGACTACAGTGACAGTATTTACATGAACACCCCTACAAGAACCCTGCAGATGTTGGATGCTGTCTATCACGGTGCGCTAAGATTCATAACTGACTGTAACTACCATACCCACCATTGCACCCTGAATTCACTGGTTAACTGGTCATCATTAACTTCACTCAGACTCTCACACTGGTATATTTTCATCTTGGTCTGTTGCGTTCATATCCTCCTACATGTCACTACATGAGTGCAGCTACAGCGTGCGCTCTCAGGACATTATTACGTGCAGTGTTCCCTCAGTGAGGACTGAACTAGACAAAATGACCTTCTTCTACTCCACTCCTGTACCCTGGAATACCTTGCAAAAAGATCTAAAGCTCTCGACATTGATCTCTCCAAGTGGCTTCAAACAACTGCTAAGTTCATGGCAAAAACCAACGCAGACAATACACTGTTAGGCTGATGGTCCTCCTTTTACAAGTGAATAGCTAACTCTGGCTGTCAGCAAGCGGACTGATATGGTAAGGTGCTTTTTATAAGACTGAGTTTCTTGCAGGATCTCAGACTGAAAAAGTATTTGAGTAAAAGACAAAACATTTCAACAAATAAGAATCCGTCCAGAGGACCTAATGAAACCTTGTTGGATTTTTCTACCTGAATTATTGAGCCTACATCAGGATATTCACTGTTGCATTATTCTTGTTGCAGTCTAGAATTGTTTGGTCCAGGTCTGAGGAGTTCAAATGTAGTTGTTTTTTGTTTGTTTTTAGCTGATCACATAGTTGGCGGAATTACCTTTAAATGACATAAACAATTTCAGGCTAACTTAAATTACTAACTATGCTTTTATTTTGTAGAGGGAGACGGAAGTTGTTCTGTTTTTCCGGTTGAGGTGTTCTGTTGTGTTTTTGTAGTTAGCACAAATTGTCAGTGAAATGAGTCTCAGCCTCCGTTCCAGGTGTTGTAAACAAAGTTGCGATTAACTCTAAAGTTTGTTGTTTTGTGTCGTATCTAAACCGGAAGTGTCGGAAAGATGCAGCGTCTGTGTTGGAGGCTAGTTGGATGAACGGCTGCTTCCGTTTAGCGTCCGGACAGTAAGTCTTTGTTTTATCAAATCAGAGCAGATGCTTTTCCGTTGATATTTAGTTTTTGTTGTGTTATCTGTGCAGTGTTTGGACTCTCGCTTTGTTATCTTTATCCTTTGAGTCCGGGAACAATAAGCAGCTCAGTCAGAACCTCCTGAAAGCTGCTGTTAGCTGCAGCTGTTAGCACACATGCTAACAGCTGCAGCTAACAGCTGCAGGTGAAAACACGACCTGAACCAGGTGTGCTCAGAGTCTGACCCATTAATCTGACCCTGGGGTTTTAGCTCTGTTAGCTGTGGTGATTAGAGCCTCTTTGGCGTTTAACAACTCCATCCACTTCAATTTAAAGTAGCTCCTCAAGAGAAAATAATCAAATTAAAGTTTAAAATGTTATTTTGGCTTTTGTGTTTATTTTAATAATCATATCACAGTTTGCTTATTTCAGTCTTTAAATGTTGTATCCACTTTGTCCAAAAAGAGCTTTACCTTTTTAGAATTTGTTTATTGTTTTTGTTGTTGTTTTGTTTTAATTGTTTTGTTTTTTAATGAACAATAATGTGATGTTTTGGTTAAAAGTCCTTTCATTTCAGGGTTTTCTGGATCAGGACATCAAACAAGAATCTAGTCTTTATTTTATTTAAATTCAGGTTAGTTTATATGTAATTAATTGAGAATAAAAATAATATCAGGTATAAAATGTTTATTTAAGTCAGTTTAATAAAACTTAAGTCAATATATAATAAAATGTAATCACACATGGGCCATTAACCATGTTCTACAATGATCCAGAAACAACAGGTTCCACCAAGTCTTTATTTATTAAACAGAAACTGGGTCCAGCCCTGACCCAGCAGAATCTCCTTCAGCCGTAGAACCCTCAGTGGTTCTCTGTAGGACTTCACCAGTCACTCTCATGGTTCTGGAGGAGTTCTGGACCACTCTTCTTTCCATCATTGTGTCTCAGTCAGAGTGAGGTTCTGGACTCTGACAGGAGGACCATTGCAGCACCTTATTGGTTCGGTTTCTTCTGACCCGTTCTGTTGTAGATCAGCTTCTGTGTTTGGGATCATGGTTCCCATGTGTCTATTAACGTGATGTGTTGCTGGATATCTGTGTTTTTTATGTTCTGCAGAACATAAAAAACACGCAGTTCTCTACAGGAACTTACTGTAAAACAGCAATTATGCTGAGCCAGGCCCATTTATTTTAATTATTCCTGTTTAAAAATTAAATAAATAAATTGGTTCTGTTGGGCCCAATTTGGTCCAGTCTTCAGCTGTTGGACAAATGGATTCATTGAGTTCCTGGTCCACTCATTGACTGACAGAAGCCCAAACCATCAGTCCTCCACCACCGTGCTGACAGCTGGGAGGAGCTGTTTGCTGCAGTGCATTCTGGGTAAACATCTGTCCTCTGGTCTGTTTCTGGTCCAGAAGTCTTGTGGTTCTTTCAAGTGAAACTTTACAAAGAGTTGCCATGTTGGTTTTAGAGAGAAGAGGTCATGACCTTTGACCTGCTGATTGAGGCCTGTAGAGTCACTGCACGCTCTGACCTTCAGAGTGAATCAGCTTTTTCTCTGCAGAACGATGGACTCTAAATGAACTTTGACCTTTTTCAGGTTGATCAGCAGAAACTGCTTCTCTAAGGTCATTGCTGATGCCTTTCCACACTGGTATTGTGTTGACATACACCTGTATTGTTCAGATCTGAACTGGTCCCCCTGATGAGGATCAGTTGATCAGCAGCTCTTGATCCTGGACCTCTGAGGTCCAGTGGAAGCAGCAGAACTGAAAAAAACAAGTTTCTATTTAATAACGACTCAGTGGACTCTGTTTTGGTTCATCCATCCATTATCTTTACCTGCTTCTTCCCTTCTGGTTCACGGAGGTCACTGATGCCCATATCCAGCAGAGACGATGTCATGGGTCACTTGGGCAGGTCTCCAGTTCATCACAGAGACGGGTCTTTAGTCCATCACAAGGAGACCTGGACAGGTCTCTACTCCATCACAGGGACACTTGGACAGGACTCCAGTCCATCATACATCCACCTGGACAGGTCTCCTGTCCATCACAGGGACACATGGAGACAAATGAGATAACCATTCACTCTCGCTCACACCTAGAGACAATTTAGAGTTACCAATCAGCCTAACATGCATGTTTTTGATCTGTGGGAAGAAACCGGAGAAAACCCACGCATGAATGGAGAGAACATGCAAACTCCACCCAGAAAGGCCCCTGGCCATGATTTGTACTGAGCCATTGTGCTGCCCTGTTTTGGTTCAATTGAGGTTAAATTCAAATACTTTTAGAACCTGATAAGGACCAGATCAGTTTAATGTCCTGGACCTGGAGGATGCTGATTTGTCACAGTACTGTGTGGTTCTGTTGGTGATTGTTTTATCTTCTTGGTTCCTGCAGTTGTTCTTCTGCAGATTCAGCAGCATCATGACTAAAAGAAGTCCGTCTTTCCAGCTGGTCAAAAGGTAAACGTCATTTCATCACACTGACTGCGTTTTATTGTAAAATATTTTTCTTGTATCTTGATGCATGCTCAATAATCCAGATATAAAAATCTAACTAAGTCTAACTCTAAGTTAAGTCAGGTCCTGTGGACGGATTAAAAAATAATGTGAACAACTAGTTCTGGATGTCTACAATAAACTGGTTGATCCACTATGAGAAAGTGCTTTTTGTACAACTTGAGTTTATTGCAGCTCCTCAGACTGAAGAAGTCTTTTGGATAAAAAATTTAATGTTTTGACTATATATATATATATATATATTTTATCCATCCAGAGGACCTGACTTAACTTTGTTAAAATTTTCTTGTATATTTTTATACGTAAAACAGAAAAACACGTTTCGTATCAGAGTCTGTAAAAGTTTCTGACCGTGTTGCCAGCGGTCCGGTCCAGGTGACTCCTCTCTCCTTCCACCTGTGACAGGATGCTGAACCATCACTGCAGAGGGAACCCTGATCTCCATGAGGAGCTGCAGATCCAGGCTGCCGTGGCGGCGGGCGACGTCTGCACCGTCAGGAGGATGTTGGAGCGAGGCTACTCCCCTCAGATACGAGATGCCAACGGCTGGACTCTGCTGCACTTCTCCGCCGCTAAAGGGAAGGAGAGATGTGTGCGCGTGTTCCTGGAGCATGGAGGTCAGAAGTTTACACACCCTGACCTCTGACCTTCTGTTTTTGTTGTCAGAACTAGGGGTGCACCGATTGCAGTTTTCTGGCCGATCCCCAATGTCTAAAAAGTCTAACCTGCCGATTCTGATTTTGGCTGATACCAATTTTGTTTTCTAAGCGACACTGTCAGGTGTTAAGGTCACAATACACCGTCTATTTTCCAATATTATTTTGTTGAAAAACATATCCTTGAACAATATCCTAGAACAATACAAACTTGTTTTAACTGGCCATGAGGTAGTGCTCTGAAATATAAATTAATTTTATTCAATTGTCGTTAAAAAAATTAAAAAAATCAGTAAATTCGGTTTCTCATGTAAGTATCGACCAATTTCCCAAAATTAAGGAAATTGGGGCCGATAAATCGGTTCAGAACTAATGGAGTTTCCTGGTTTCAGACCTGACTGAGTCCACAGACCTTAGTCTGGCTGAGGTTGGATCTTTGAAAAGGACGTATCAGCTCTGATCACCTGTCCTGGCGGCGAGCCTCGTCTATCAGAACTCGAACCCTAATTAGTTCTGGTTCTTTCCTTCACATTTTATTATTTTATTTGTTTTTATCCTTTTGGCTGCTCCTTTCCTTAGGGGTCGCCACAGCAAACAAACACCCATGAAGACTTGGCGATTGTTTTTATGCCAGATGCCCTTCCTGAGACAACTACAGACCATCAAGCTACCACAGCCCTCTGTGCAGAGCAGAGAGCTGCCATCTAGGGCACCTGGGGGAGCAGATGGTGGGGGGTTAAGGGCCTTGCTCAAGGGCCCAGAGTGGGGCAAATGAGGATGGAGGCAGGTGTGGGTGTTTCACTTTTTCCACCCACATTTTTGATGTTGTTGTTCCAGGGGATTTAACCAGCTACCTTCCGATCACAATCCCTCCTATTTTAACCTCAGCACCACCACTCCCCTTGCTTCTTTCCTTCATAAAATCCTGTGAAATGTTTCTAAAATGTATTTTTTGTTTTTCAGTTATTCTGTTTTTTTGTACTTGAATTTATCTCACTCAAACGTGTTTTTCTGTGTGGGTCTGGTGTTTGTCTTGAACGTGTTTTTCTCCGGTCTGTTCTTTGAGTGGGTTCCTCTTTCAGTCCATGTTTCAGGTTTTAGATTAAACCCAGTTTGTGTCTTTAGTTTCAGACAGGTTTTATTTTCTGGATTTGATGGTTTTTCTTCCTGCTCCTCCCAGCCGACCCCACGGTGAAGGACTTCATCGGCGGCTTCACGGCTCTCCACTACGCCGCCATGCATGGTCGGGCTCGCATCGCCCGCCTCATGCTGGAGTCGGACTTTCGTGGAGACATCATCAACGCTAAAAGCAACGACGGCTGGACGCCGCTTCATGTGGCGGCTCACTACGGCCGGGACTCGTTCGTGCGCCTCCTCCTGGAGTTCAGGGCAGAGGTGGACCCGCTCAGCGACAAAGGGACCACTCCCCTGCAGCTGGCCATCATCCGAGAACGCTCCAGCTGCGTCCGCATCCTGCTGGACCACAGCGCCAACATCGACATTCAGAACGGCTTCCTGCTGCGCTACGCCGTCATCAAAGGAAACCACTCGTACTGTCGCATGTTCCTGCAGAGGGGGGCCGATACCAACCTGGGTCGGCTGGAGGACGGGCAGACGCCCCTGCACCTGTCCGCCCTGAGGGACGATGTGCTTTGTGCCCAGATGCTCTACACGTACGGCGCCAACACCAACACCAGAAACTACGAGGGCCAGACTCCAGTGGCAGTGTCTGTCAGCATGTCTGGAAGCAGTCGGCCGTGTCTGGACTTCCTGCAGGAAGTCACCAGTAAGTCCACGTCTCCTGCCGTCCCAGAGTCTGGTTTCACTCAGATGGGACTCATTGCCAGCAGAACCTCAATGTATCAAATAAATATGATGGACCGAGCTGAATCGACCCATCAGAACATCATCCAGAACTCAGAGGAACTCACGGACACCTGGACAGGTCTCAGTTCCATTACAGGGACACCTGGACAGGTGTCCAGTCCATTACAGGGACACCTGGTGTCTGTTTGTGAGATATGAATGAACAGAACCTCCGTCTCCTGACGGGTTCTAGTGACCTCACCACTGATAGTGTCTCCACCTCTTGAAATGGTTGAAATAAACACAGGTCAGGCACTAGGACCATGTGGTCCTATCCCACAGGCAGCCTCCTCTGCAGCTACGTGCTGACAGGAAGAGTCTTTGTCTCAAAACTGAGAAAATTAAGTTTAGTTTAACAGTTTTAGAGGAAAAGAGTCCATCAGACTGAGTTGATACTGAGCCGTTCACTGAGTTCATTCCCCCTCTGCAGATGTTTAATCATCTCTGTGATCATCAGAGTGAGCTGCGATGATAATAAAACACACAGCGGAGTTTCACTCTAATGTCCTGACAGTTTCCTGTACATGAACCCCTAGTCTGCCTGAATCCAGATTATGTTTGTGTTTGAATTGTTTTGTTGAGAACAGGACGTTGAGTTTTGACTGACAATTTCTTTTTGTCTTCCAGGACAGCCTCGGACTCTACAGGACTTGTGTCGGATCAAAATCCGTCACTGCATCGGCCTTCAGAGCCTAAAGTTCCTGGAGGAGCTTCCTGTTGCCAAAGTTATGAAAGACTATTTAAAGCACAAGTTTGACAGTTTGTGAAGGACTGCGGGGGTGGGGGGTGGCTGCATCTCTTCAGACTATGCAAGCATTACTCTGTAAATGTTAACTCATCGTTTCTTCATGCCTTATTTAAAGCTGGACAAAGTGCTGAAGACTGGACCTGGACCCAGACAAATTCTGTGGTGGGACAAGACGCCGAGTTCCACTGTTCAACAAAAACCTTCAACTCACAAACTCTTCAAGACTGAGCTGAGCCTGTTGGGGGCGACGGTCACTAGGGTCAAGATCAGGGTCAAAATCAGGGTGTCTAGGGTCAGTATCAAGATCGGGGTCTCTTGGGTTAGGTTCTGGGTCAAGATCAGGGTCTCTAGGGTAAAGTTCAGGGTCAAGATAAGGGTCTCTGGGGTCAGGTTCTGGGTCAAGATCAGGGTCTCTGGGGTCAGGATCAAGATCAGGGTCTGTAGGTTTTAGGGTAGAGAATCTGAACTTTTTGGTGCAGTTTGAGTGAGTTCTGAGTGTTTGGACCAGTCAGCCGTGCTGTTCTCCGGTTTTTAAAAGTCGTGCCAGTTTTCACGTACACGGATCTGAAACTATTCTTGGCCGTGCACATTATTATGTTACCTGCACTGACCCATTTTTATGATTTTAGTCTTCTGGAGTCCACGTTAGAAATGAAGACTGGCAGGATCTGGAATATCATCAGGTTCTGAGACCTGGACTGGTTCTATCAGAGGAGGTCTGCAGGAGTCAGAACTCAGCTGAACGCCTCCAAGATTTGCAGAAACTAAGAGACCAGGTCTAGACAGGTCTAAGATGAGTCTGAGGCAGATCTAGACGTCTGAGATGAGTCTAGCCGGGTCTAGGCAGACTTTTAGGAGTTTTGAAGAGCTTGGTGGGACAAACGTCAGCAGATTTCTGATTCCAGGAGAACGTTTCTTCAGTCTAGGTTCTCCAACAGTCTCAGCTCGGTCAGTACAGAACTCACCCTCCTGCTGCCCCTTGGTCAAAAGACGTCCTGGGTCATTTCACCCACGAGCAGCAGGAGCGTGAAAGCTAATTCAGCCTTTTTTTTTTTTTGCCAAAAGGTTGGAGAGTTTTTAGCAGCTGAAGATTATTCATTTAAAAGTCCTGTCCAGAACCATTCAGAACCTTCGTCATGATCAGAATCTTCTGTATGATGTTAAGAAGGTCTTTAGTTCACTGCCAGACGTTCAGCTCCTCTTCAGCTTGTTCACTTCCTGAACTCTGGGCGAGGCTCAGTCTGGGTCTCTGTTCCTCGCAACATCTTAATATCTTCAGATTTCCTGGTTTTAGGACTTTATTCCAGGAGCTTCCTGTTTTTGGTCCAAAGACAACTTGAAGCTCGGTCTGTTCAGGTAAAGAAAATAAAAACGTTAAAAACTGACAAACCACGAGTGAAGCTGCAGAGTCATGAAGACCGGCCCATTGAACCAGACCCACAGTTCCCTTCTATCCAAGGTCAGTTTGTGCTTCATCTAAAACCAGGTGACCAACGTCAGGTGTGTTCACCTGCAGAGACCACCGACAGGACGACTGGTACCACGGCCCGGCTGGGTCCCTAACCTTTAGTCATCGGACTGTCTGAGATTTAAATGTCCTCTCCAGGTTCTACATCGGATCGGTCCATACCCTGCAGCCGGCTCGACGTGTCTGTCACCTGACTCGAGCCCCCACCTGGTTTGATCCAGACGAGTCCTTTGTTTACGTTGCGTGCAGACCCACGGTCCAGAATACACGTCACAATATGAGCAGATCTACCAGAGAGAAGCTGCTGCACCGTGTGATGTCAATCATGGGGAGGAGTTTAATCAGAGGGGTGTGGCTTAAGTGGAGAAGGGAGGAGTCTAATCAGAGCAAGTCCACAAAATCAGTGTAAAGATTTTTCAGTCCAACTGGGTCTTGTCCAGGACTGGTGAAAGAAACAAAAAGACCTGGATGTTCTGTTCGGTTCAGGTGAATAAAGACATGACTACAGAACCAGCTAAAGGACTGGGTTCTTCTCTGCCCACAGAAACAAAGTTCAGTTTTACTGGTTTCCTTCAGAGGTCAAATCACTTCAGGCAGAGTCCAGTCTTCATGAAACCCGTCCTGGTCTTTGACCCGTCTTCCTGCTCGTTGAACACATCGACAGTCAGGAGGTTTCTGGGTTGACAAACCGACCGGATCATTTTACTGACATTAAAAATGGTCTTTATTTGTTTTAGACTTTATTTTGTAGTAGAAGGAATTCTGGGTAATGTATTTCTTTAGCAGCTCCAGCCGGTTGAACTCTGTAGAAACGAAGCAATAATTTCAGTCCTAGAAAAGGTTCTGATCCATTTTGATTATTTGTTTTCTGTTTGTGTGACTCTTCAGATATTTTTAATCTTGAATTAATTTTTTTAATTTATCCTGGCTGCAGCTCTGTTTATTAACAGTTTTTATATTTACTTTATAAAATAAACGATGTTCCCAGGTGTTAGACGGGTCCGAGTCGTCCTCAACACAGGTGGCAACATGAAGGCAGAGACACTTTGATTTCATTTATTAAAGGTTATGTTTTAGTTCAGATTCTGGACTAACGTCCAACAGGTCAACTTTAAAAATGTCCCCCAGCTCTCCCCTGGTCTTCTGTTTCAGTCCAAAGAGCTGTTTAGAAGAAACTGTGTGTGTGAGGGTCAGCGCTGCACAGCTGTGTCTCATGTCTTCTTGGAGGACAGAATTCATGAAATGTAGAAAACACTAGGATGGTCCAGTTATTCCTGGATTTAATGTGATGTCATCAGTCTAACGTTACTCCAGAGTTTGTTCCTGGTTGTCTAACTGGACATTCTTGGTGTAGCAGCTGTTTGACAGAATTCTGGACTTGATCGAAAGCGAGAAAAATTAGGGTGCCGAACTGGATCTGGGGGGAGGAGCAGGACCAAAAACGGCCTTGTCATCCAACCCACCATCTTGTCTGAGGTCAAAGGTCACACGAGGATCGCCAAGGAGGAAATGAGGGTCTGTTGATGAACAGAAACTTGAGTCTGACGCAGTTCTCAGGACAACATGGTCAAAACTGATCAAAGGTCAATCAGACACAACAAAACATCAGTTTCTATAATGCCAAGTCACAACAGAAGTCGTCTCAGTACTGTTCAAAAACATTCACGTGCATTATAAAAGCCAACTGCGTTGACTCTTCATCAGTCTCCCATCCTGAACAAGCACAAAGGAGACAGTGGAAAGGAAAAACTTCCTTTTAACAGAAAAAAACCTACAGCAGAACCAGGCTCGGGATGAGAGGCCCTCTGCTTTGACTGGCTGGGTTTGAGAGGACAGGAAGGAGAGACAGACATAGAATGGCAGGTCCAGTTGTACTTTCTATTGAAGGAAAGACAAAAAACACATTAAGATAGAAATACTTACAAATACAAACAGGTAGAGTAGAGAAAGTAAAGAGAGCAGCAGATTGAGGAAATGTGGTCAATTTGTCCTCCAGCAGTCTAAGCCTATAGCAGCAGAACGAAGGGATAGCTTGGGAAACCCACGCCGACCCCAACTATAGGATTTATCAAAAAGGAAAGCCTAATCTTAAAACTGGACAATCAGCCCTACGGACAGAAACTGGAAGTTGGTTCCACAAGAGAGGAGCCTGAAAGCTCTGCCTCCCATTCTGCTTTTGGAAACTAGGAACCACAAGTAAACCTGCAGTCTGAGAGTGTTAGGAAAGTATGGAACAATAAGATCTGTAATATAAGATGGAGCTAGGTTGTTGAGAGCTTTGTAGGCTAGAAGTAATATTTGAATTCAATTCTGGACTTGACAGGGAACCAGTGGAGAGAAGCTAACAAAACTGGATATGATCTCCTACTAACTCCAGTTAAGACTCTGGCAGCAGCTTTTTGGATCAGCTGAAGACTTTTTAAAGAACTATTTGGACACCCCGATAACAAACCAAATAGTCCAGTCTAGACGTGACAAATGCATAAACCAGTTTTTCCACATCATTTTTAGAGAAGATGTTTCTAATTTTAGCGATATTACGCAGGTGGAAGAAGGCGGTTCTAGTAACGTTTTTAAGGTGGGGGTTAAAAGGCGGGTGGGTCCTCATGGAGGTCCTCAGGTGTGTCCTCTGGTGGGCCCTCAGGTGTTTGAGTTTGGAAAGAGCAGCTCCAGAATACACACTCATGTCTTTGTCTCTGTGACTGCACTGCTGAGAGGTTTTGAACTAAAACTCTGAAAACTATCGGTCTCATTTACGGTTTTTCTAACACTGACAGCATTAACTTTAATTTAAATAAACTGAATTGACTTAACTGATTATATTTAGATCAAATACACTACTTAAAAACACCTTCACAGGTGCTCTTTTGTCCTGGTTTTAGAACAATGAAGTCTCAAACAGCAGAAGCTGAAAATTTGACTTTGATCAGACACTTTGTCAGTTTTCCATTTTTTAATTCTTTTGTAAAGAACAGCTTTGGTCTTTAAATCGCTGAGTTGTTGGTAATCTAAATGGATCTTGGGGGGAGTGGTGGCGCAGAGGTTAGAGAAGGTGGGCCTGAAGATCACCGGTTCACAAAAAAGTCCATGCTCAATAATCCAGGTATAAAATCCAACATTTTTCAGTCAGGTCATCTGGACAAGTTTCGTTTTTTGTGCTGAAACGTTTCGCCTTCAATCCGGAAGGCTTCATCAGTCAAGGAAAAACACAACAAAACTGATTCTTCCCCCAACAGCTTACTCCAAAGTGGAACAAACCAGTTCTGCTTGTGATAAGATGGAAGATTTAATATCACCGGTTCACGCCCCGGTACTGACAACATTAAAAATGTGGCTCATTCGCCCCACTCTGGGCCCCTGAGCAAGGCCCTTAACCCCCACCATCTGCTCCCTAAACAGGTCTCTCTTGAAAATGAGTTCTCGTGGCTCAATGAGACTACCTGTATAAATAAAGGTAAATAAAATAAAAAATCTAAAGCAGCTGCAGCAGCAGAGAAAAGTTGACATATTTCTGTGTTTTCTCCTTCACTCAGAGGAAACGAAGCTTGTCGGACCCAACAGAACCGAACTCAGCACATCGTTCCAGTCTTCACTGGCTACAGAGACACTCAGAGCATTATCCACGTTGGACGAGAAGACGGCGGACACTAAAGCGTATATAGTTGTTGGCCCTCCCTAGAACTTCCTGCTGGGTCTTAAACCTGAAGTTATGCAGAACCGGGCTAAAGATCTGCACAAGAAGGAACAGAACCAAGCAGAGACCGCAACAACAAAATATTCTTTTTACATTTTAGCTGTTGAAATTTTATTTTAATATCCAATAAATTAAAACACAAAACAACTGCACTTTGATTCTATTATTTATTAATTTCAATTATAATTAATTTTAGTTATTTAGTATTTCTAATGATTATATTTAAACAAATAATAATTTATTATATTGAAGTATTTATTATTTGTAAGTAATTTTTAATTACCAGTTTCTCTTTTTAATTATTTAAAAATTAATAATAATAATTATTATTAATAATAATTATTTACGATTTTTAATTGTTATTTTCTCATTTCTGCTGTTCCCTCTTCAGGAGTCTCCACAGTGTCCTCCTCTGTCCTCTGTGTCCTCTGTCCTCACTCCAACTACCTCCATTCATTCAAGCTTTATTTACACAGGGTAGTCTCATTATATTGAGCCACGATGACTCAAACAAGAGAAACCTGTTTTAGACAAAACCACAGATAAGCTACAGACAACAATAAACGGCCATAAAATGCATATAAAATGAAAAATAAATAAAAGTAGTGATATAAAAATAAATAAAATCAAACTACATTATGAAACGCAGTAAAATACTAAAAACAGGAACATCTGCATTGATTTTTGTATTGAATTGCGCATCCATGTCCTTGTTAACTGCATCAATGCTGTATACTGCAGGATCAATAAAGTTCTGTTATCTTATCTTATATCTTCTCTTTGTTTTCCTGGCAGCTGCAAACATCCTTCCACCACTATACCCACTGTCCCTCTGGACATGTTCAAACCATCTCAGCCTGGCCTCTCTAACTTTATCTCCAGTTGTTCAACCTGTGCTGGACCTCTGATGATCTCATTCCAGACCATTCAACATAGCTGGTCTCACAACCGTCTTGTAAACTTTTCATTTGACCTTTGCTGACACTCTTTTGTCACAAATCACTCCTGAAACGTTTCTCCATCCACTCCATCCTACCTGGACTCTTCTTCACCTCTTTACCACACTCCCCGTTTTCCTGGATGGTGGACCCCAAGTACTTGAAGTACCTTTGTGACCTCTGCTCCTTGTAGCCTCACTGTTCCACCAGCGTCCTCATTCACACACATGTACTCTGTCTTACTACGGCTGACTTTCATTCCTCTTCTTTCAAGTGCATACCTCCACCTCTCTAACTCTTCCACCTGTTCCCTGTTCTCACCACAGATCACAATGTCATCTACAAACATCATCGTCCAGGGATTCCTGCCTGACCTCATCTGTTAGTAGGTCCATCAGAGCAAACAAGAAGGGGCTCAGAGCCTATCCTTGATGCACTCCCACCACCACCATGAAGCTATCTGTCACTGCTACAGCACATCTCACCACTGTCCTGCTGTCCTCAAACATGTCCTGCTGTCCTCAAACATATCCTGCTGTCCTCATACATGTCCTGTACCAGTCTAACATGTCCTTCTGTCCTCATGTCCTTATAACATGACTGCTCTCCTCATACATGTCCTGTTGTCCTCATACAATGTGTTGCTGTCCTCAAGCATGTCCTGTGTAACATGTCCTGCTGTCCTCCTGCTGTCCTCATACATGTTCTGTCCCAGTTTATCATGCCCTGCTGTCACTCCAGGACATGTCCACGCCTCCACTGTCTTCCGATCAGTCATGTGTTGACGGTCCCTAAAGACACAGTTAGCAGCAGGGAACACACCGAGGCGGGCTGACCCAAACCTGACTGCCAGAACTGGGTCAAACAGGGCTACCTTCAGTTCGGCGGATGTCTGGACCGGGTCTGAGACCTCCCAGTTGAGGCGCACGAGGCGTGGTTTGTCTCTGACGGATTCACGGAAATGTTTTCCAGCTGTTTTGTTCCTGGTTCACCGCAGCTTCGGTCCGGGTTTTAGATCCAGAAAGTTGTTTTCGAATCAGAAATGCGCGCGTGACGCAGCGGGTCGCAGAGGACGGGCTCCGGACCTCCGAGCTGCTGAGGGGTGAGTTGAACCAGAACCTCGTCCTCCTCGTGTTCGGACCGAAACCAAGTGAACTGATTGATTAAAGCTCTGACGACCAGAACCTGAGACCGTTAGGACAAACCGAGACTGTCTGAGACTTCCGGGTAAACCTGAGCCCAGCAAGGACACAGACACTGTCCACAGACTGCAGAGACACAGACACTGTCCACAGACTGCAGAGACACAGACACTGTCCACA